GAAACACTCCCTAACATACAGGGCCACCCCACCGCCTCTCCTTCCTCTCCTGTCCCTTCTGAAGAGTCTATAGCCATCCATTGCAGCACTCCAATCGTGAGAGTCACCCCACCATGTTTCTGTGATGGCGACTAAGTCATATCTCTCCCGCTGATACGGTAATGTGAAACAAAACCAGTACTACTTGAGCTTTCTAAGAAAATCAGAGTCAACTCTTAATAACTTTTCTTTCAAAGATACAGAACATGGAGGGACTAAGACATCACCAATAAGAGTACTTGAATTAAAGTTGTTTATGGAATCTATTAAAACTTTATGCAGATGTCATAGTTGCATAGCCAGGGGTGGCTACAAGCTTGTTTACAATTGTCTCTTTCGTCAGGGAACTGAATAAAGTTATTTACATTTGATCATTATTTCCACAAGTAGAAAGAATACAAGTAGAATTGGGAAAAAAAAAAAGCACACATGTTCTATATTTAAGTATAAAACTTATTGTTCTGTGCCCTAGTTTATGAATCAGTGGGGATGCTGTATTTTCTGTTGGTAGTCTCATGTAGGTGAAACTGTTTTATCTGCCCCTTGTAGATGCAGCAGTGTTGTTTTCTAAGTTATCACTTTCATGTTTAGGTTTTTCAGCTTCTACTCACAGTACTGTGTAGAAATGTGTCAGTATTTTTCTTCTAAAGAAAAGAGTCGACAGCACTGAGATTGTAGGAGTGTTTTCCAGTCTTCCACAGTGTTATCCCTTAGAAGCTGGGAAAATGAATCACTCCACACCTTTGTACTACTGTGGCTAGATTCTTTCCACTAGCTTAGCTAGCTTTGACCAATTTTAAATATCTCCTTGCTGTTTTGCAGACCACACTGCGTATGTTGTCTGGAACACATCCCCAGGGAGCGACATTCCCTGTAATTTGAAATTCATTGGAAGAAAGTCAGCAGGGAGATGCCTACCTGTAGAAAGACAGGAATGTCCAAAAAAAGACCCTGCACTTCAGTATATTTCAACATATGTGTAACAAAACAGTTGTAACAAAACTATTGTTTTCATAAACTTAGCTAAATCTTCAGCTTTTGACTGTGAAAGTCAGTTTCTAGATTCCTGTATTACTTGGCATTAGGTACATTCCACTGCTTCATCTTTTTTTGAGGGATGCCAGTGTCTCACTTTGAATTCTTGCACGTAAAGAACTTTTTTGATCCTGAAGTATGCTATTTCTGACTGTTCTGTTCTTCTGGATTGGTTACCAGACTTTACTTCTTTTATTTGAGCAAGTAACTTAAACTTCTAAAAGTATTTTACAGGCCTATACACGTCAGCTGGCGAGTAACAATCCCAGTAATGTGTTCCATTCATCTTGGGCCCAATTATGCTGAGACACTCAGCTTTGTAGGGGAGAAAGGGAGTGAGGTCTGCCCCAGAAGGAGAGCTTTCCTTTCTGTTCTGTCCTCTCTGATGTCTTTATACTTGGCTATCCTCGTATGAGAAACAAGCTTTATCTCTGTCCTTAGATTTCTAGTCAGCCCTACCTACATCAGTCCTAAGTAACAATAGTACTCCCTTTGTGAATTCAACACCAAACCGTGTATGCTTCTGTGGAAAAGATATTAGCAGTCTTCTCTTCCCTTTATACTTCCGTTTTTGGAAGATACTCATCCTTTTGCTCCACAGTTTCCAGGGTGTCGGTTCACTGTCATAAGGAGGAATCATGATATGAAATTCCATTATTTAATTTCCATCTCTTTACAATAACCTAATGAGGAGGGAACTATCATTCTTGTCCTCAGAATTTCCTTCAGGTAAGGCAATCCCCAGCTCCCTTTCATATTGCCAACTGTTAGTGGTTCTTGGATATTTTGAGTTCCTGTAGTTTGAAGCAGCCTTCACTGTTTTTCCTGGTTTTATGTGGAGGAGGGAAGGTATGGGTTTTTCCAGCATTATATTGCTCCTACTGTGACATGTTAACTATGTTGTAAAAGCCTTTGAAAAATATCCTGTTATACGTACTTGTATTTCCAAAATGGTTTTGACAGTCCTTCACAAAAGCTTTTTTAAATAGCCAATTTGTAATGGATTAAGAGGAAAGGTCCTCTTGTGGAATAACAGATGAGAATTAAAGTATAAAAATACATGGCAAGCTCTTGTTATGAAGGGGAGTACTAATGATGCCACTCTGGTTTGGCTCTGGGGGTTTGCACTGTTCAGCATGGTCATAAGGAACTGTGAAAAGAAGATGAATAAGGAGGGGATAAAACATGCTGGGTTTTTAAATCTTTGAAAACTAAAGGTTGTGATACGGAATGCTTGTATTATTGTAATATGGCAAGTAATACTAAGTGTTGATAAAAGAAAAATTAGCGGAAGAACAACCCTAACTGTATACCTATACAATGCTGAACTTCTGATTAGTTCCTTTCCAAAGAAATCTTTTTTGACCTGAACGAGATTTACCGCTATAATTCCTTAATAAATGAATTAGGAAAGGTAGTTGTCACTTACTGAGGGGATAAAAGTTACATGAGGAATGGTAACTGTGCATCTGCAATGCTGAATGCAGTGCCCCAACTCTAACCGAATAAGAGAGAGATGAAATCAGGTCACACGGGCTAGCAATAGGCACAGGTTTCAGGTAAAGTTGGAGCTGACAAGGATTTCTAGTATCTCTAAGGAAAAATGTTTGTAAGTGGCATATATGCTATAGTTCATGTATGTGGATGTTGATACCTGGAGGAAACATTTTTCAAAGGCCTGCATAGAAATGCGTGCTAAGCTGCTTTTGAGGGTCAATACGAATTGGGTGCTTGTCACTTACTTCTCCCCCTTTTCTCCTGTTCATTGCCAGAGAATTGAACATCTGCTTGAAAACATGTTAAAACTCTTCGTTTCCTGAATTTTGGATGTAAGGGCCTAAATGTATCCACTGATGTATCTAAATGTGTTTATCAAGTTGAGGTTGGGTGATTTAGAGTAATTTCTGGTTTTACAGAAAATTGTTCAACTTTTATTTTTCCTGAAATGTTTTTCACTGTAAAACCTTTCTTGTCAGCAGAGTGAGAGAATGGTTGTTATCTTCTTCCATAGGTAGAAGATTCCAGTGTGCTTCTTTTGTATAAATATAAACCTGATTAAAATTATCATTTATTCTTCATCTTCTAAGATGTGTGGTGCATTTATTTCTCTTGATCTGTCTTTTCTCTTTATAGAATTTTCCAGAAAAGGATCTTCTGCACTGCCATTCTAAGGATGTGATTGAAGCTCATTTTATGGCTTGTATAAAAGAAGCAGATGCTTTAAAGCACAAAAGTCAAGTCATCAATGAGATGCAAAAAAAGGATCATAAGCAACTGTGGATGGGATTACAGAATGGTAAATACAAAGCATCAAGTATTAATTATATTTAGCTCTAGCATGCTAATAAATAATTTCTTCAAATTTTAGTCATGGTACAGGATATAAAATGTCATTGTTCTGCAGAATTTTAGTCTAATGTCATGGAAAAGATTGATGATTTTTTTTTTTTTTTCCCCCCTCCCCTCTCCTAAAAGTCACCATTTATGTGATAATCCAAATGTGGCTTGAGTTATTTGAGGAACTCAGTTGGGTCATGACTCTGTTTTAACAAACCAAAACTAGCAACAAAACAAAATAAATAGATAAATATTGTCTAGCGTACTTTTGTGCAACTGATGGTCTTTATTTGGGCGACACCTGGGGTGTAAGTGTTGTTCAGTATTAACTGTCTTCGACTGTGAAGTAAAAAAGGTTGTCTCCTCTAGTTTATGCTTAAGGATTGTCACTGATAAACAATACAGGTAAACTTTCATAAAGTTGCCCAGTAGATTAATAATTTTACTTTTCCCTCTGCCAAATTTAGATTTTTTTTGTTGCTGATATTACTATGGCTTTCACAAAGACTCTGCATAGATAAGTGTTGACTTGAAAAAGTCAGCAAAATAATTCAGAACAGGATGTTCTAAAATAATTAGTGTTCTTACTTTGCACAGATGGCATGAATCTATACTGTAGTGCAAAAATATAACTTCTTTTGGTTTTAGTGTCTCTTCTTTCTTATCGTGGTTCTTAGAGGCCTGTAAGTTGAAAAGCTTTCTAAGTATTTCAGAAACTGCTACCTGGAATGGGTGGTAATGCCACTTTCAATGCATTTTCCTCATCTCCTTGAAGCTGTCATTATGTTATTACTGGTAAATTCATTTTACGGAAGCTGTAAGCATGAAGATGTTTATTCTATGTTGAGATACAAAATACTAAACACTTACATGGGAAGATGTTAATTCTGTTTATATGGAAAATTAAATGAAACAGGAGAAGCTTTGAATGAAGCTTTGAAGAAGACTTGAGGCATGTGTTTGCTTTAGACAGTGAGATTCCAAATTAGTTTGGGTTTAATATGTGTATTTAATGAGTGTGTGGGTTTTCTAAATTATTTTTTTATTGGTTTAGTGGTACTGCCTTTCATATTAAAGGAATTCCTGTAACAATTTTGAAGGTTGAGTGCTTATTAGAAACTCTGTTTTCTATTTTTTATGTTATTGAGGGAGAGTTAGAAATTGAGGTATTATCTTAATTTGCCATTTGAGTGGTAAGATCTTGAGGGATGCAGTACATGCCTGCAAAATTTATCAGGTAAGAAGTTGCACTTTATCTTTTTCAATTCAAAGTACTTCTTGAGAGATTCTGTTTTGTATAGATATTAGCCAGCAAACTGACTGAATAAAGAGTTCTGGTCCACTGAAAGTCAGAACTGGTATAAAAACAGATGTTTCCTTAAAGCTTACGTTGTTACAAGTCAATTTAAACTGCAATTTTAATAATTCTGTGGGAAAAAAAGTATTCTGCTGTATTTTTCTTGCAAGCAGTTTAGTTCGAGAGAAGCAAAATGCTGTGCCAGCATAATTTTGTTTTCTGTTTCAAGAATTACTAGCTTTATTGCAAAAAGAAATCTTGTCACTTAGGCCCAGTGTTCAAGTGTTCCCAGCAGTGCACTTTATGTGCTCTTTTTATTAATGCTTTTTAAAATTAAAACTAAAAGACCTCTAACATGAGTTATGAGTATAATGAGTTATGAGTATAATAATGGTAGCAGAGTTGATTACGCGATGAAACGGTATGAGTTAAGGTTCTTTTCTTAACCAGAAGTTATAGAACCTCGATACCTTCAATACGTTAGGTAAGAGAACAGATACACAGTGTGTTCTTTCTGTGCTCATCTTAGGCTCTATCTTTTAGTTGATTATTTTTCT